ATTTTTTTTGTAGATAATTTTTAGTTATCTACGGAATATTACCTACGAAATTTTTTCTATAGATAATGTTTAGTTATCTATGGATAAAATCTGTAGATAACAACCTTTCGTGGGTTATCTATGCAAAACTTTCCATAGATAACGTTATCTACAGATTTTTCGTAGATAACCTTGGCAGATGCAAGACAAAAATTTTTATGCTCTAAGTGATGTAAAGAATATTTGGTAAAAAATAAATATTATTAAAAATTATCATTTTAAATTTTTTATTTTTATAAATTAATGATGATAAAATATAACATACTAATATCTGGTTTTAAATTTGATATGAAAATATTATGATATAATTAGATAAGATTTTAAATTAGTATTTTATTAATGGTTGATAATTAGAAAATAAAACAAGAATAAATAAATTTTTTGAATTTTATATAATAGATTTAAGATGAATAAATATATTAAGTTAGTCAATAATTTATTTAAAATGTTAATATTTAATTTATAAAAATAATATTTTAAAGAGAAGGGTTATAATAACACCGGTGTAACTTTTACTAAGTATAACACCGCTCAATAACTTTATATTAAATGTGAATTTTATAAATTCAACTGTTAGATTGAAAAATTTTTACTCTTAGCTCATATATACAAAATTTTATATTAATTCAAGATGATTTGATACTTCATTCTTGTAAAATAAAATTGACGTAATATATACCGGTGTTATTATAACCCTTATCATTTTAAAATATATAAATTATTATTTAAACTTTTAAATTTATAATAAATAATTTAAATTGTATCATAATATTAATTTTAAATAGAAATAAGTAGATTGTTAATTATACAAGTAAGTGTATATACATATATATATATATATATAAAGATTAATTAAATATAATATAATTATTATTATTGGTAATATAATTATTATATATATTTTGATATTTTTATAGCGGTCTGGACACACCAAAATGAGAGGGATCCAAAAATAGTATAAGTATGAGATTGTATAGTTGAGGATAACTTAAATAAATTAATTTGTACTACTTATACTGACAACATGCATCTGCTTTTCGGTAGCTTATCTCATCAAAACTCCACAATTAGGCGTGCTTGACTTTGAGTAATATAGGGATAGAAAATGTGTAGTAAGGACAAAACATGTTGAAAAGTGACGTGTCATGAAATAGCATCCTTGAGAGGCCAAATGTGAGGGTTGTGACATTAATAAATTTATTAAAATTAAACAAAAATTTTCTGAAGGTTATCTATGGATAAAATTCGTAGATAACAACTTTCATGGGTTATCTACGGAAAATTTTCCGTAGGTAACGTTACCTGCGAAAAGTTACCTACGGAAAATTTTTCGTAGTAACGTTATCTACGACCTTATTACCTACGAATTTTTAGTCGTAGATAATCCATAGATAATTAAGACTTATCTACGGATTTTCATGCTTTACGGATTTTCATGCTTTACAGATTTTCATGCTTTACAGATTTTCATGCTTATCTACGGATTTCTTCCGTAGATAATCCTGATTTTTCTTGTAGTGTGTTTCTTTGTTTATTCTAACATTGTATACCTACATAGTGTGCACCAAAATGTTAAGTTATAGCGTTTTCACAAAATTATTAATAGAAACATAACCACAAATAGATGAAATGAGGGTTTTCTGTCAATTGTCAAAACAGACAAAGAAATTAAGGATGACTAAGACAAAAAAAGATTCATTTACAGGAAATCCTACGAAACTCAACAACCTTTCATTTTAATCCTATGAAACTCAAAATATTTAAACATGAAAAAATGTCCTTTATTGATCGAAAAGTACCAAAATCTTGTTTTATAGTCCATATAGGTGTTCAGGAGAGACAACAACTAATTAGGAGAGAAAATAGGTGTCAATTCGACACTTCACTACTAATTGTTCAAAAAACTAATATGATTAATATATTCAAGCATATGCCGCAAAAAATATTTTACGGACCAAATAAAGTGTTTACTCATAATTTATGCTTAAAATATCTATTTATACAAATTTTAAATATGATTATATAATAGTCCTTAGAATCATAATTGTCAAGGGTTCTACAATGTTCTTAGGAAGATGGATTTTAAAATTGATAGTGCATTGGCTATCATTGGGGATTTTAACTCCATTCCCCATTAACATGAAAAAGTAAGTATTTTTTTTATTATCTGTTAAATAAAAATTTAATAAAATTAAATAAATAAAAGTATAAAATAAATATTAATTCAATATATAAAATGTAACATCGAGGATAGCGATTCTTTTGTTTTTTTAAATTTAATTTATGTAATTTATAAACATATTAAAATATTTAAAATATTAATATATGTTTAAAAGGTTCAAGGTAATATAATTTGTTAAAAAATAAAATCAAAGGTAATATAACTTTTTTTTCAGCTTTTCTTCACATTTTTTTTCTGTTATTTTTATCTTTTTCATTTTTTTACAACCTTTTTTTTCATTTTTTTTTTCATTTTTCACTTTATTTTTTTTTGTCACTTACTTTTTTTTTTAATTTTAAAAAAAAATTTCCCAATTTTTTAAAAACCTTTTCTTTATAAATATGCATTTTTTAATGTTAATTATTTTTATTTAAATTTATTTTAAAAATACTATTAATTTATTTTTGGTTGAGTGAACTATTCTGGTTATTTTTAAAAATCCTATTTTTTTGTAAATTATTAAAATATTTTAAATGATCAATTCTTAAAATAAATATATTTAAAAAAAACTAAGTTATTTGAGAAGTTGAAACAACTGTTAGTGACATTGCTTAAGTCGTTATAGCCATTAGCAACTTCTCCACGGCTAAATTCAATTCCTTTCCACAAAAATAATATAGGGGACATTGGTGTCGTTATGACCTATAGCGACATTATATCAAATAAACCCAAAGGTGTAAATAGTTTCAAAATATTAATTAATTTTTTTTAAAAAAAAACTCTACAATGGTGAATCAGCCTAGTTTTTAAGGCATAAGACTCAATGGTTGGGCCTAGGGACAATGGCCCAAGTGGGGCTAAGAAATTTGGTAAAGGACCAAATTAAAAATAAGGTAAAAAACATATATATTTTTGTTGATGTATATTGGGCTAAGTAGTAATAAGGGGTCCAATAAATAAACTTGCACCATTATGCCAATTGTGTCTAATCATCCCATTGGTGTTAGTAAGGGGTCGACTATTTCGAATAGAAAATGCCCACTAAGGGCTACCCAACCTAGAGAGTTTATGTTTTTATCCTAAAAAATGGAAGTAAAAAGAGCGAAAAACCTTTTTCTTATCAAAATTTTAGAGAAGACAAGAGAGGCCATCGCAGTTGAGCAAGGCTCTCCTATGGACCATTTTGTTTGAAAGGTACCTAAAAGTTGAAATCCAAGTGATGGAGGTTTTTCCCTCTCTTTGTACGGATTTCATTTAGCGATGTTCCTCCCATATCCCTCTATCAACAACATTGGAACATTTTGGTTTTAGAAGAGAGAAGATGGACCTACCCAATGGAAGAAAATGATATGCTTATTTGCAATGACCTATCATCGGAGCTAGTTCGGGCTCAACCCCCTTCCCCCCCTCCCACCTCACATTTGTCTTAATGAATGTGATATTCTAGAATTGTCACAGGACAATGAAGAAACGTTTACCTTCAATGATGAAGGATATTTTTGAAAGAGTGTTCAACCTCTTTAATATTTTTATTGGAGACTCACAATAGTGGGGTTAAAGTTTAGAGAATAGTCTAGTAGATTGGTTTAGAGAGATGTTTTATTGAAGAGCTTGTGAGGCATGTTGGCAATATATGGTGCTTGTGGAACCCTGCTTTGTGGAAAATACAGGTTCTTGACATGTCTAGATACCATGTTCAGTTGCACGTGAATTGAAGGAATTGCAGTGATTGGTTGCTTACAGTTGTTATAATAGTCCTTAGAATCATAATTGTCAAGGGTTCTACAATGTGCTTAGGAAGATGGATTTTAAAATTGATAGTGCATTGGCTATCATTGGGGATTTTAACTCCATTCCCCATTAACATGAAAGGATTGGCGGCCAAAATAAGCCTTATATAATTTATTATAAATTTTAATTATATATATTAAATATTTAGTTTGTACATTGTATAAGTTAAAATACTAGTTTCTAAGTAACACAAGTTAGGGTAACACGGATAGATTAACTTGGCAACTCTTTTTCTTCTTATTTTTAGTAAAATTTATTAGTTAATAATTATATTATTGATAATATTTTATAGTTTTTATTAGGTGTAAATTTTATTATAAATATTTTAAATATTAAGTAAGGTTTGTATGAAGATATGCTTCGGTTATATTATACTTTTATTTTATTTTTTAATTATTTACACTAAATAAATAAATTAAATATGTTTTTAATTCTTTTTTTTTTCTGACTTTCACTTTGAGTTCTAAACTTTTCCTCCAATTAATATTTATGTTTCCTAGCATCAATATTTTTTGTTCATAGAAAATATTTTTAAGAACTAAAATCAATAAGAATTTATTCATTAACTAAAACTTAAAAAAAAAATTAAAAACTAATATATGTAATCTTAACCAACTTTAACCTCTCTTTTTTCATTTTTAAGTTAATTTACAAAGAGAGTAAGTTAACTATAAAGTGAATGCCATCATGTTTTACCACTCCGTAATTTGTGAATTCCGGCTCCATCTTCACTAGATTGTGGCGTGAACATAAATATCAACTAGTTGTTCTCTTTTTCCCCTATATTACAACAATCTTTTTTGTCTCTTTAACTAAATTCTGGTGTAGACCAATACATTTCAAATGGGCTCCTTACACAAACCAGGCCCACGTTAGAAGCCCATTAGTGGCCACAAATTCAAAACAGTGTAACCTAACGGCTAGTTCATTGCACACCGTTTCATTTCAAGCAAATACGCCCACGCGCCAACGGTCAAAAAATTTGATGCCACCACCTTTTATAAACCCTTCAGTTTAGTCCTACACACAACATTCTTCAATCTTCTTTTGTGCTCTAATCTCTCTGAATCAGTTCCAATGGAGACTCCATCATCCACAGCAAGAAGAATCACCAGATCTCAAACCGCCTCCAACAATATCCCTCTTTCAAGTAAGAAACCTACCCTTCTCTCAAATCCCAAATTAATTTTCCCAAGATTCAAATTTTAATTTCTTATTATTTCTTTTGATAGGAAAAAAGCCTGAGGAATCTGAAAAGAGCGGTTCGAAAACGAGGCAAAGAAACAACATGCAACAGCAGCAGGATCGGTGTGCGCTTATTGACATATCGAACGATTCACCGATCGTGGGGCTTGCAAACGGCAACGATCTCGAAACGCCGTTGTCGTCTATGGCGAAGCAGCGGAGGGTGAAGCAAACGCCGGGTTCCGGCGAAGCCTTGCTGAGGGGTCAGGTTAAGACCCTTTTGCAGAAAGTTGAAGAAGAAGCTGTGGTTTCGAAATTCTCAAAGGAAGTTCCTTCCTTTCTCAAACTTGTTAATTCCCCAATGTCACTTCTTGCACCCACTCCTGCGAACACTCCCCAAATCGCTAATCTTTCTGCTTCCGATGAAACTGCTTTACCTTCTGCTGTCGTTGAAGAACAATTGATCCAGAGGGTTAGTTATATTTGTTTTAGGCTTTATTTTCTTGCCCTTTTTTGTTGCTTTCAAGAAAATGATATTTTTCCCAATTAGTTAATATTATGTTATGATGATGATTCTAATATAATGTAAAAATTAATAAAAGAGAAATAGAGGGCAATTGATATAGAGGGTTAGTTATAAAAATTGATTTTTTAGATTGAGTTAAAGAAAAGAGGAGATAAAGTTTACTTTCTGAAAAAAAAAATTGAATTTTGTTTTAATTTTCAATTTTTCCCGCCTTCCAAACAGACCCTGTTGTATGGTATTGTCAGATGAAAATTATTTTATATGGTATTGTTTGAAATGTAATAAAAGTGGAGGGTCTTTTTATGGCAGGTGGTGGATGAAATATTTGAGGGAAAGAACAATGAGAAGGCTGAATCTGAGAAGAGTGTGATAACGAGGTCGCTGCTGTTGGATTTCTCGGACAAATCCGAGGTTTCAGAATGCTCTTCTGAGGTGACTTATCAGGAAGTGTCACAAGGAAGTGGTGGAGGTGGGTCCACCACGGAAGATGATGGTGCTTCTATTTGGTCCATTCAGGTGAATGCAAGCACACATGATGAGGATGAGGATGATGAGAAAATGGGTGAGGAGGAAGAGGAGTATTATGATGAGGATGCTGAAGATGAGGAGTTCTGTGATGATGGTGATGGAGGGTTGTTGATTGATGAATTGTGTGCTGGGTTGAACAACATTAGTGTGAATGAGAAGGGCTGTGGGAAGCACACGAGGTTTGTTTACGACAGTGATGACGAGCTTGTGGAGAAAGTGGAAGTAGAATCGTCTAATGTGATTTGTTTGAAGGGGTTGCCAACACCCAAAGGAAAGCACCTTCGCTTTCCTGAGGAGGAAGAAGATTCTGATATGTGATTTTTGGTTGATGCTGTGATTGTGTATTGGTTGGTTGATTCACCTTTGTTGACACCACTGCTTTGGTGGTTGGGAATCGTTTTGTTACTGGATCTTGTTCGGGGGATTCATTGAGGCTTTTTATTTTTTTGTGATTGGAAGCTAATGCTGCTCCAATAAAATTGGTATTTTTCATTATCAATAAAAATTTCTGGTTTAATTTGCTGCGCATGCTCTGTGCCTACTGGGAATTAATTTTCTGTTTTCTCTCTTGCACCGCAAAATCACTGTCATTATATATATATATATATTTATATATATAAACAAACAAACAAAACAAAAATAAAAAAAAATAAATAAATCAAAAATAAAAACCTTCTTGGTGTAAAGTAAATGTTTTTTCAACTATATTTTCATATTCAACTTAAGTTATCAATCATTGTATACAATATAGATATAATAATTCACCTAGAAATAAATTACACAATTTAAGTTGCTGATCATGTAACTTCTTATCTTTATAATGACCACCCCAAATTTAGCCATCATAAAGGCTGAACATTGCATATCTATATTATATATGATCATTAGAGTTCAAACCATATGAAAATACACAATAGTAATTAGAAACAATGCACAAACAACACTAGATAGCAAGCATATCATCAAATAATAGCTTTACATTCGACGGTGTCAACATACATCGTTATCACATCAACTTCTCCATTAACATGAGAAACTCAAGATCTACACAATAATCAACGTTAATACCAGTCATCAACACTCAAGAAGGCATTTTCAACACAAATTATGCACAACTAGGTACATTGTCTTCAACTAGGACGTGAGTAATTCAAGTGACTTGACTCTATCGAACTAATAACACTGTGATTTGTTTGAGGTTGCTAAATCAAAAACAAATTGGATATCAATCCACAACTCAACAATTTGGTTTCTCGGATGTCATCACTTAAATAAAGAAGTTTAGTTTTAATGTTAGGGTAGAGTAGTTGGGTATAGGCCTACCACAACATTAGCTAACTATTGGGAAAAACCCAACTCTCACAATGATTAGAGATTAGGAAATTAAATAATATATAAGTGGAGAGCAATTCTTATCTTACAAGTCAATTTTGTAGGGTTTGAATTAGACTCAAATTCACTATTTTAAGATGATATCAAAGTTATCCTAGATCCTTAAAAAAGACCAACTATCCTAAATCATTTAAAAAGAGTCACCTATCCTAGATCATTAAAAAAGAGTCACCCATCATTTATCCACATATCAAGTCCAATAGTATTGGACGTGAGCGGGTGTATTGGGAAAAATCCAAATCTCACATCGACAAGAGATTAGACAATTAAATAGTATATAAGTGAAAAATAACTCACATCTTACAAGTCAATTTTGAAGGGTTGAATTAGGCTCAAATCCACTATTATAAAATTAGTTTAACCAAGTCTCTTATGGGATTAGTCCACTAATTATTCTCTAAATACTACGTCCTTCTAATACTCAGCTAGGAACTAAATTCCTAACTTTGTACTTTGCCCACACAAGGTACCAACTAAGTTCTAGATAAGATTCAACACAATAATCTTCTTCAAGGGTCAGCTTCTCAAGAAAAGTTTTTCAACAAATTAGACTTCTAGAGTACCATAACACAATATCCACACAATGAAATATATACAACTTTAAAAACCACTCCGTTGGTCATAGGTTGGTCGTTACAACTTAACAACACCATGCCTAAAACATTCTCAACATTCATCATCTCAACAATGCAACAACATCATGCATAAAACATATTTTCCTCATCTCAACCTCCTAAGTGGTCGCACTAGCAACTACATCCCACAAGATCTTCACCAAACCGATAATTTTGCCTCTCAATTCCTTCATCTTGTGATCAACCATAGCAAAAGGTCTCTTCTCTCTAACCTAAACTTCATCTATCTCAATAACATGACTTGAGTCATGAACATACTTTCTCAACTAGGAAACATGAAACACATCGTGCAAGTTAGAAAGGAAAGGTGGCAAGGCCAATTGATAAGCCACTAGACCTACACAATTGATAAGCCGCTAGACCTACACGACGAAGGATCTGATAAGACCAATGAGTCTCAACGTCAACTTTTTGGCCATCACTACCCTTCTCGCTCCAACAGTGGATGTCACTTTTAGAAATACATGTTCCCCCACAACAAACTCTAGAGGGTTCATCCTCTTATCAACATATGATTTTTGCCTACTCTTGACAGTTCTCATCCTCTATTGTATCTACATCACCTTCTAAATAGCTTATAGAATCAACTTTGGTCCTACAACTACCGACTCACCCTCTTGGTACCAACACAAGAGTCATACGCCTCCTGCCACATAGAGTATTAAATGGTGCCAATGGTAAGACCGTCTCCCAACCCAACTCTCCAAATGGTTTAACATACAAGCCTTCAACAAATCCTCCAAAAATTGGATAGTCCTTTCTGACTAACTGTTTGTCTGAGGGTGATATGCAAAACTCAATCTCAACCTTGTCCCCAGGGCTTGGTGCAGACTTTATCAAAATCTAAAAGTAGATCTTGGATCTCGATCAGAAATAATATTGGAAGGCACCCCACACAATTGTACTATTTCTTGGATATACAATTGAATCAACTTCTCCAAGTACATATTAATGAGATTTACATTAAACAAGTATATATTATCGAGATAAAACTCCATTTCTAATTGAAAAATAGCACTAACCACACTTAAAACACTTTTATCCTATAATGCAAAACTATTTTTATTGTCTATATCATTAAAATTTATCAACATCAAGAAACACAATTGGAAATAAGTTTTTCTTTATGTACCTAGACTTAATTTTTTCATTCAGAAAAAAAAAAACCAAAAAGAAGAAGCTTATTTTTGTCAAGTATGTTTTTTTTTTTAAAAACACAATTATAAAATTAATGGAGTGTGAAAAAAAATGGGGGTGTTAGAATAACATGGGCCTTTAATATATACTCGGGCCCAAAACCATTGCAATTTCAATTCTCAAGTGAAGTCCAAACCAAGTAACATTTGGGTGGATTTACTTGTATCAGGTGCAGGTCCAATAAGAGAGGATGATAAAATGGAAGTGGATAAGCAAAATATAACGAACCACACGTTACACTCTAGGAAACCATGGAAACATTCTCTCTCTCTCGAAACCCATCTTCCCTCATAATTCTCAGTAGACCTTCACTTCCATCAACCCGACACAGCCAAATCTCCCTGCCCCACCGTCACAGTTTCAACCCCATCACCTGCACCAGCAGTGACAATAATAGTAGTAACACCAGCACAAACGACGTTGATGCAAACTCAGTTCAAGCACCATCATCCAGTGCTGTGGAAATAAGCTTCAGGAGAAGGTCGAGAAGGCAAGCAAAACGACAGAGAGAGAGTGAGAACAGCACCAAGGCAAGGGTCACGGAGACTCCTCCCAAGAAATGGGAGGACATGAATTTGAGTGAGAAAGCGATGGAACTTTACGTGGGAGAGAAGGGCGCTCTCTTTTGGCTCAACAAATTTGCATATGCTTCGATCTTCATTATGATTGGTGGTTGGATATTGTTCAGGTTTGTGGGTCCCGCCTTCAACCTTTACCAGCTCGATGGTCCTCCACTCGCTCCTTCTGATGTCTTCAAGTGATCATTCATCTCAAGTTTTCAACTTGCTGAATAAAAGCTTGGGGTTTTAGCTTCTGAGCTCAGATGTTCTCCAATTATGTTTTTACCCTTTGCTACTACTGTGTGTAATAGATATTATATGTATGATTCCAGGAGGCCAAAAACCAATCAGTTTTGTTAAAGAGAGTTCTAATGTCATCGCATTTTTTTTCGTGTTTGGAGTTGAGATTTTGATACTGACAAACTCTCTTTC